TGGTGTCACCTGTGACCCCAGTGCCACCCACGTCCCCAATGTCACCCACGCCCTCAGAGTCTTCAACGTCCCTGGTGTCACCCACGTCCCCAGTGCCACCCATGCCCTCAGTATCACCCACACCCCTGGTGTCACCCGTGACCCCGGTGCCACCCACGCCCTCAGAGTCACCCATGACCCTGGTGTCATCCACTCCCTGGGTGTCACCCCTGTCCCTGGTGCCACCTGTGCCCCTGGTGTCACCCATGTCCTCATCCCCAGTCCCACCCACATCCCTGGTGCCACCCATGCCCTCAGTGTCACCCCTGTCCCTGGTGTCACCCATGTCCCCAATGTCATCCACGTCCTCAGTGCCACCCACGTCCCTGGTGCCACCTGTGACCCTGGTGTCACCCACGTCCTCAGAGTCTTCAATGCCCTCGGTGCCACCCACGTCCCCAGTGTCACGTCCCCAGGGCCACCCACACCCTCGGTGCCACCTGTGACCCTGGTGTCACCCATGTCCCCAGTGTCACCCGTGCCCTCAGTGTCACCCGTGCCCTCATCCCTGGTGTCAACCACATCCTCAGTATCGCCCACGTCCCTAGTGCCACCCGCGCCCTCAGTGTCACCCACGTCCTCACTATCACCCATGTCCCCAGTGTCACCTGTGACCCCGGTGCCACCCACGCCCTCAGTGTCACCCCTGTCCCTGGTGTCACCCATATCCCCAATGTCACCTGTGACCCCAGTGTCACCCACGTCCCCAGTGTCACCCATGTCCTTGTCCCCACTGTCACCCACACCCTCGGTGCCACCCACACCCCTGGTGTCACCTGTAACCCTGGTGTCACCCATTTCCTCATCTCTGGTGTCAACCACATCCTCAGTGCCACCCATGCCCTCAGTATCACCCACACCCCTGGTGTCACCTGTGACCCCAGTGCCATCCACATCCCCGATGTCACCCACGCCCTCAGAGTCTTCAATGTCCCCAGTGTCACCCATGTACCCAGTGTCACCCGTGACCCTGGTGCCACCTGTGCCCTCACTGTCACCCATGTCCTCATCCCTGGTGTCACCCATTTCCTCATCTCTGGTGTCAACCACATCCTCAGTGCCACCCATGCTCTCAGTATCACCCACATCCCTGGTGCCACCCATTTCCTCATCTCTGGTGTCAACCACATCCTCAGTGCCACCCATGCCCTCCGTATCACCCACACCCCTGGTGTCACCTGTGACCCCAGTGCCATCCAGATCCCCGATGTCACCCACGCCCTCAGAGTCTTCAATGTCCCTGGTGTCACCCACATCCCCAGTGCCACCCATGCTCTCAGTATCACCCACATCCCTGGTGCCACCCCTGTCCCTGGTGTCACCTGTGCCCCTGCCCCTGTCCCTGGTGCCACCTGTGCCCCTGGTGTCACCCATGTCCTCATCCCCAGTGCCACCCACATCCCTGGTGCCACCCATGCCCTCAGTGTCACCCCTGTCCCTGGTGTCACCCATGTCCTCACTGTCACCCATGTCCCCAATGTCACCCACATCCTCGGTGCCACCTGTGACCCTGGTGTCACCCATGTCCCCAATGTCACCCATGTCCCTGGTGTCACCTGTGACCCTGGTGCCACCTGTGCCCTCAGTGTCACCCATGTCCTCATCCCTGGTGTCAACCACATCCTCAGTGTCACCCATGTCCTCGGTGCCACCCACACCCTCAGTGTCACCTGTGACCCCAGTGCCACCCACATACCCGGTGTCACCCACGCCCTCAGAGTCTTCAACG